AAAATTAATAATTTTAATAATAAAAAATAAAAATATTTTAAAAAATACACTTATTTGTTTTTAAACATGTCCTTATTAGTCATTTAATGTTAAACAACAACCGTTAACTATTGTATAATCAAACAGTTATATTTATCGAATCTGCTATTTACCATCCGCTACCCACTTTCCGCTATCCGTCATCCGCTATCCGCTAACCGCCACCTGCTACCCGCTACAACTATCCGCTATCCGCTGCCCGCTACAGCTATCCGCTATCCGCTGCCCGCTACAGCTATCCGCTATCCGCTACCCGCTACCCGTTATCCGCTGAATTTTAACCGCTGTACCAAACAGGCCCAAACTAGCTTTTTCAATCCGCTAGCGGTTTGGACCCTAACCATTATCTGTTAGTCTTAAACCGCTAAATAAAAAATTTACCAAACACTTTATTTGTAGCGGTTTCAAAACATATAAATTTACCAAACACTAATATTTAGCAATTTAAATAAAACCACTAACCGCTACCCCAAAACCACTATACCAAACGGGGCCTAAGTAAATAGTTTTGAATCTTTATATTTGTTACTTGATTTCATATTTATGAATATATTGTTTTCATAGTTTTTACTTATCTAACTTTTTTTAGACAAAATACTATATTAAGCCTTTGAACTTATTCTAAATTTTTAATTAAGTTTTTAAACTTTTACTGAAAGGAAATAAACTCTTAAATTTATAAATATGAGCAATTTAATTCTTTTTTTTTTAAAACAAACTTGATGCCTATTCTTGCATCTTTTGTATAAATAAAGTAATACTATGTCGTTAACGACTTAAGTAGTTTAATGATAATCTCATTTTGTTGGAAGTAAAAGATCATGTGTCATATCCCCTTTTTGATAATCCTTTTGGTTTATCAAAAAGGGAAATATACTGCACAAGATAAAAAAAAATAATAGGAATTATCTATAGAAAAAGATTGTAGCGGAAGTAAAGACTTTTCTAATATAAAATGTTTTCTTTTAAGGAAAATCTGCTTTTAAAACAATTTAAAATTTTATAGAAGGAAAATCATTTATCCGCAAGGGAAAACTATTTAAGTAAAAAATATCTTTAAAAAAATATTGAAATATTTAAAGTTATAAAATAAACCAAGCTATGCCCATTTAAATTAATCTTAATGCCATATACATAAAAATAACTTATACAAAAAATACATGAAAGCAATTGCTTCTTCAAAATACTTTTTGAAATAATAAAAGCAAAATTATCGTTTGGTAATACATTAATCCGCCTTCACATCGAAAACACTGAGGTCAACATATGAGATTTATACCGAGAGCTCTCAAGCTGAGTGACCGCTACTATAGTCTACAAATCTGAAATGGGGGGAATTTTATGAGTTAAAAGCCTAGTAAGTATTAAGTTTAAATTATAAACTTGGATCTTAAGACCCTTAGACCTATACACACAAAAAGCACAAAAGATAATTAAACCGAATCACATAATTTTATAAATCTCAGTGTTTAAATAACAATTTAATATCACAAATTAACTCACAAATAATCAAACATGTCAAGGAGCAACTAATGACATTTAAATCCAATTCAAATTGTAAAACCATGTGCTCATAAATGTGATGTCACAAGCATAATGCACAAAACCGAAAATCACACAATGCTATGGAGTTCACTGATATGTGCTAGCAATATTGTACTGGAGTTAATCACAGTGCTAATCTTATTACGTAAAGGTCCACTAAATACCTTAAAGGGTCCACTGAATACCCCGGAGGGTCCACTGAATACCCTAGAGGGTCTATTAAATACCTCGAAGGGTTCACTGAATACCTCGGAGGGTCCACTGAATACCTCGGAGGGTCCACTGAATATCCCAAACTTTAAGTTTAGGTCCACTTATTTCATAGTCACAAACACATACAAATGTCAAATAAATTCAGAATGTTCAAAATAATATTAGAATTTTATCCCATTTAATGTTTCCATTAATCAGTGGTACTGACAATTCAAGTTCACACTAATATCCACATACAAAGCTCACATATTTCATAGAACTTTCTATGGAAGAAAATTAAAGTATAGTGTGTGAACAGTAATGCGTGAATAGTATCAGTGCATGAACAATAATTAAAGAATTAGCAATTTACTTTCAAGCTCATGCACGGTTCAGCAAGGTCCAATTAACTATATAAATTCTTATTTTAACCATGCTAAAACCCAAAGAGATCATCACATAAAATGTGCAAGAATCACAAGGCAACAACAACAGATTATTTAATCCATAAAATCCACACCAAATCAAGCATAAAAAAAAAGAATAACTCACTGTCTTTTCCGTACAAGCCCCAAAAATTGACATATATTCCTAACAAAATTTTAATGCCCAAAGACCTACTAAACTAAAGTTTTGGGGTCAAATTTCACTAATTTAAATTAATTTTTAGTTTATTGTAACAAATCTATAATCTACCCAAAGAAACTCTAACCCAAATTTATAACCAAAACTCATACTTACTTGGAAATCAAAGTACTAAGTGGAAGAGAACCGCAGAAATTGAAGGGATTTCAACTTGAGAGTGCATCCTACACGTTAATCTTGGTTGAAAAAAGAACGGAGAAAGAGGTAGGGGACCGATTGGAAAAGAAAGATGCAGAGAAAAATGGGTTTCGGGAGGATAAGTTCAAAAGAAAAAGGGATTTGGCTTTCTAAAGTCTTATAGAGAAAACCCTCAGTGACTTGGTTCACAAATTACCACATGTTTTGAATTTTTGGCTAATAGAGTTAAATAGCCCTCAATCATCTCAAAATTTCACATAAGATTCACATACTTTAAATCTAATCAATTTAATCCCTAAAATATTAAAATAAAAAGACTCAAATTTCTAATTTATTCATTAAGGTATATGAGGTGTTATATGATAAGTTAAAGTCGTATAACATACGGGTGGGGTGAGATAGAAGATGTGAGAGGGTTGTCCTTTGTTGTACAACCAACATAAAAAAGAAGAAGAAAGAACTACTATGTCACTATTTATGTGATAGGTATTAATCCTATTTATATAAATAAAGTATAAATGAATGTTAAATGGGTTTAATTTCCTTAAATCTGAAAATTTAAGTATTCAATAAAAATTTAAAAATCTAATAAAAAATCCAAAATTAATTTAAAAACTTAATATAAAATTACCTTTTTTTTTCATACTTATCTAATTTTATTTTTTCTTTTTAACATAAAAGAATTTTTGAAAAATAAAAGATTTTTTTTCAAATTATTAATAAAAATTAAACACTTAGTCAACTAAATTTAAATATTAAAAATTAAAAACGAACTATTAAACCCGATCGCACGATTCCTTCCATACTTATCTACTTAATAAAACATTCTTTACAAATAAATGTACCAATAATCAATGCATCTCTATCGCTTTAAAACGTTTACCACGCTAAGCACAACAGCGCAAGGATGGACCGTTGGATTACACGGGTGATAATGGTTCCCGTGACTGCCCGGTACTCCAATTTTCCTCCAGACCGAATCTTTTGTCCCCCGTCGCGTTCACACTGTCACAATAGATACATTGACCACGCAATCTTGACCGTAGATAAAAATTTCCAAATGAAATCACCTCCGTCCATTTCCCTAGTAAATTTGGATATTGAAAATCCAACGGCTGATACTATTCTTCTATAGAATATTCGCTTCCTCTATGCCCCCTATATAACATCACCCCCTGCTTGTGCCTTTCTCGTGTCAATCGTGTGTTCGCTAGGGTTCTTTCTCCGCAAACATCACTTCATTGTAGCTGCTTCCAAGGTCAGTAGACAAATCGGCGAACCGCTAATTCTTCAGATCGGAGGAAAAATGCGAGTTCGATCGGCGATCGGGTTCTCTTGTTGAAAATGCTGTTTTGTTTGATTTT